AGGAACCATGAAAGTGCAAAACAGGTATTAACTCAAGCTGCAATGGCTCATGCTCTGAAGGGAGGTAGACGATAGCTAGATATAAACAGCCTAATATACAGACCAACTGGCTGGCAGGATTAAAATAAAGGTTAAGGACTTGGCAGGAGCACTAAGGAATTTCTGAATCCTGCCATGCCAGTTACCCTCTTACGAAGGTTCTTGAGGAAGACATAACACAAATAATGGTAACAATTGGAAAACAGAAGGGACACTTTTATTAGCTGAGACCATGTCTGATGTCCCATAATGCAGAGTTTTAATGATACTGGCTTGGGTCACGTGGCTTAGACTTGAGCTTGAATCTTACCATGTGTGTATGTACCTTTCTCTTGTGCCTGGCTATTCCAAACCCCTCTACCTGGTGCCTTTGCGTCAGGCCCTGGCTGGGTCACAGACCCCACTGCAATATCTTGCCTAGACTTGCACTGTCCAGTAGGCATTGTTCCTTCGAGCTTTCTCCTTCCGTGATGCAATGTTTTGTGCTTATATGTGATACATACGCTATGCGCATATCTGTGGTTACTCATGATTTAAAATGTGTTATCACTTCAAAGCAACAGTTGCATTAAAGGGGGTTAATGCATGAAAGAGTTACTCTAATGGTAGGAACTGTAGGTATCATGGTAGTTGGGGCCCAGGGACCTTTCCTAACAGTTCTTAAATAACATTGATAGCATACACATGTGAAAGACATGGAGCAGGTACAAAAGAAAATGTATTTGTTTATAAAGGCTGAGGGAATAGTGAGTAAAAATAAATATACCAGGCAGAACTCATTTGTGGAAGCTTGAGTGAAGGAGAGCAGATGAGTTATTCTTGAAGATGATGATAAAAATGGGGCGGCATGGGATGAGGAGATGGTGCACATTTTAGTTGAAATGACTTTGAGGGCAGGGACCATGTCTTTAATTTTGTGCCCTCCCCCAGGGCCTGGAAGAATGCTTTACACATCATTTATAGTGAGGGGTAGTTTAAATGAATGAAAATATCCATGCCCAAGAATTATTGATTTTTTTTTTAAATCCTACCTTGTTTTGACCTATGTGGATCTTAAAGGGAGCATTTAAATGAAGACATTTTCACAGAGAGTCTGAGCAAAAAGACAATGTATATGGGATCCCTGAGAAAGTGAGTTCTTTTTTTTNGCTGAAGCCACAGGTTATCCATTGCTTAACAAGTCCAGACATAGGCTGTCCCTAAGGTAGGTTTTTGCAGTTCAGTGATAGCATCAAAGACATTGTCCCATTCTTTCATGTCATACTCAGCCTCTTGATTTTTAAACGTCCTTAGTCTTGTCACCTCTTGGTCACATAATGGCTGCCACAGCTCCATATATCATGGCCGCATATAACCACATACAAAGGCAGGAAGCAAGGAGTAATTAATTGGTGCAGCCCGAAGACCTCCCTTTACTTGCTTCCTTCTTTTTATTCAGGGAAGAAAAATCTTTCCCAGAAGTCCTGCCACCTTGTCCCCAGCAGACTTTTCCTGTATGCCTCATTGGCCGGATCTGAGTCACATGGCCACCTGTGGCCACAAGGGAGGCTGGGAAGCAAGTATCTGAGTTTTTCAGTCCCTGCAGTGGGAGGCAGGCAAGGAAGAAAGGCACTGGCTAAGAGTAGCCAACCGAGAGTGTCTGCCATAGCACGTTACCCGCCCTTAATGAGCTTGGTCCACAAGGGCAGACTGACGTGTAACTAGTGCCCGTCTTCCAGCACTGTGCTTGTCGTGAAATAGGAAACAGCAGTTGTGATAAGATCTGGGGAGCTGGGGCTGTTGGACCCTCCTCCTATCAACCTTTTTTCATATGAGAGGAATACCAGCACCAGGTTCAAGTTAAAACCAGTTTACACTGAATTAATTATATTCCAATGAAAGGAAAAGGATTCAGTATCTGAATATCAGACATTGGTTAGGAGACACAGGAATAGGTCTGGATCAGACAGAAAATGTGTATTACTCACAGCAGGTCAGGATGGCAAGCATGTGGCACGTGTGCTGCCTCTTTCCAGACCCGTAGCCGATGTGTCTACTTGATGACAACTCGCTCCCACCAAGCCCAGCCAGGACCTCAGATTCTTCTCAATAGGCAGCTTCTGCCAAGAGATCAAAATTGATAAGCAAGGTTAGATCGACTTGTTATCACTACTCAGAAATTTATATTTCCTACTTCTGCCACTAGGACCAAAGGAAAGGAATGTGAAAAATAGGGTCAAGGTAAGAAATCAGTGCTGTTGAACCAAGGACTCCAGCATTTAAAGACCAAGGGCCAAGATCAAAGGGCAGAGATCTTCATGCATAAACCTAGCTTGTGAGGCAGGTTAGCAAAGGTATGTTGATGACGTGAGCTTCCCACCACTCTACAAACAGAACGCTAAACAGTGATAATATCTAAACAGTAAGATTAAAACATACAATTTTTGACTCTGAGCCATTGGCTCCAGATTGAGTTGAGAGACCGGTAGTTACAGGCTCTGTATTTGCGCAGCATTAACTTTCGGAAGCTCTTACACACCTGTCAGCTCATTTTATTCCCATCATTTTATCCCTCTTGAAAAATTGTTCACTACAAAAGGGTAATATGAAGGACCATTTTGGGGGTGTTGAAACTGTTCTCTATCATGATGGTGATAGTGGATGCTCATCTCGGCATCTATCCAAATCCATAAAAGTATGCCACCAGAAATGAAATTTACTATGTGGGAATTAAAAAAGAAGTTTTAAAAAAGTCACTGAGATAAATGCTAAAATCTTTTATTCAGCTTGAAAACCAATTACAATTGTTTACAAGTAAAAATTGCTCATGTATTTATGGTTATGGTAAAAAAAA